GGGCAGCGACCTCAGCTGGGGTCTGAGGACGGGAGAGAGATCAGTGGGCCCAGAGCCAGCCCCGGACCCTCCCACCCTTACCCAGCCCCCACTGACCGTGGCAGCAGGTGGTCGCCAAGAGCATGAGGAGGAGGAGGAGGAGGAGGAGGAGGAGGGGCCCCTGTACCACCACGGCCAAGAGGTTCTTACCAACCTCCTCCCAGCGCAGGGGGGGCTGGAACTGCCCGTCTCCTGTGTTGACAGGAAGGAGGAACGGGGTCACAGGGGGAGGTGCTTGGTTTCTGGGCCCATCCCCACCCAGGTCACCTCGGGCTTTTAAGGGAAAAGACCAAGAACTGAATGGGCCACTCAACTGAGGTCTGACTGGTACACGCCACAGTGGTATTACCATCTCCTTTGTTAGGACCTCTTGTGATATGACCCAGGACGTAAGTAGCTTTTACGACTACTTTGCCGTATCTCTAACTTGGCCCAAACTTGGGGCCACCTAACCCTCTAGTTCCCTTCCTGGGAGCTGCTGTTTGTCCCTACCCTGCGTTATCGACTTGGGTGGCACTCCCCCACCTCGAGGGAAGTTCTCACCTAAGCGCTCGAAGGCGTCAGCCACGGCCTGATCTCACGCCATGTCCACACGCCCCCGGCCCAGGCAGAAGTGGGGGAACACCAGGAAGACCCTTTTTCTGGATGCGGCCCATTTCCTGCAGCTTCTGCTCAGGGATAGGAAGAGGGACGTGCGTCCGGAGCTGAGGCCCAGACTTGCAGAGCGCCACCCGACCAGAGAAGTGTTGGAGCACGAAGGTGGCTGTGCCGCCGTTGATGCCGACGAAGAGGTCGACACAGGTGAGCACCACACAGGCCGTGCCGGGCACACGACTGGCGTGATCGACCAGCTGAGGGGGCAACAGGGGTCACCGGGTAACCACCCAGACAGCAGGCTGAGTAGCCCTAAGAGGGAGTCCTCTGTATCCAGTCGGTTAAGGGTCTAAGTCTTGTTTTGGGCTCAGATCACGACCCCGGGGTCGCATGGGGCTCCGTGCTGGGTGCGGAGCCTGCTTGAGATTCTCTGCCTCTCCCTCTGCTTGTGCTCTCTCGCTGTAAAATAAAATTCTTAAAAAAACTTTTAAAAATTAGAAACAAAAGAGTTGTTTTGTTTGTTTGTTTTAAAGTCAACTCTACCCTTGGGACACCTGGGTGGCTCAGTCAGTTGAGCGTCCGGCTTCGGCTCAGGTCACGATCTCGCAGTTCGTGGGTTTGAGCCCCGCGTCGGGCTCTGTACTGACAGCTCGGAGCCTGGAGCCTGCTTCGGATTGTGTGTGTGTGTGTGTGTGTGTGTGTGTGTGTGTGTGTGTGTCTGCTCCTCCCCTGCTTGTGCTCTCTCGAAAATGAATAAACATTTAAAAAAAATTTTAAAGTAATCTCTACCCTCAACGTGGGGCTTGAACTCACGACCCCAAGGTCAAGAGTCGCACACACTACCCCCTGAGCCAGCCAGGTGCCCCAGGACAGGATGAGCTTTTAAGGCCACCTCAGCATGTCCTTAAATTAGATTCCACTTGGGACCACCTCGGATCTCTTCTGTCCTCGGGAGCTGGGACAGAGCCCTGGCTCCCTCGATGGCATCAGGCGTCGGGGTAGGGCGGCAAGAACGGGCTCCGAGGGGGGCGGAGGCCTCACCCGCAGAGCAGTAACAGCAGCAGGAGGGCGGGCGGGTTGGCGGGAGCCACGTACGCCCTCTGCTGGAAAGCCAGAAGGGTGAGCGCCGCCACGCACGCTGGCACCAGGTAGTTCCAACTGCGTCGGAGGCGGAGTTACGCCCATCAGTTTGCAGGTCCCCTGGGCCCCATCCCACCCCCCCGCGTTTCAGGTGGCCAGAGGCGCAGTCTCCCAGATCCCCAGACTTCACCCAGACCGTCCCGACAAGCGCCTGGCGGGAAGGGGCAGCGAAGGGGCAGCGGTGAGAGGCAGCCGGACCTCCCCCCCCAACAGCACTCCCCGCACCACGTCCCAGAGAAAGTTGCTGAGCCAGTGAAGAGTGGGAGGCGGGCCCCCCATAAACTGCAGAGGCCCGACTCCTCGGTGAGAACAAGGGTGACGCTGGCTGGGACGAAAGACACGGTGAAGACCGCGCAGGTGGAGACGGGCACGTCCACCGAGGCGGCCGTCCTGCGGGCAAGGGCGCACGGGCGCCTCAGAGGACACCTCTGCCCACGCCGACGGGACAAGGATCCACACGCTGGTCACCGGGCGGGGAGACGAGCGGGGCCGTGTGGGGCCGGTGGGGGCTGGGCTGCCGGCCGGGCAGACGCGCAGACCGCGCGGTGGGGTCCCAGCGACGCGGTGAGGATGCGTAGGCTGCCGGGGGAGCCTGACAACGTCCCGCTGTCCGGGCCTGGCCGCAGCCACTGTGCGCGTACTCAGCAGGGGCGTGGCAGAGCGCAGAAAGGCCGAGGTGGGGGGCGGGGCATAGGGACTCAGCGCAGCCTCGGGGTGGCTGAGCGTGGTGATGCTGTGGGCGTGGCGGGCAGGGCCCGGGGGCAGGTGGGCATGTAGGAGCGCATCGTTGGCCCTGTCGATGAAGGCCACCACGGTGTTGTTGAACCAGATTTGGGTGGGGGTGGGGTCGGGGCCGAGGGGTCAGAGCGCCGCGGTGAGACCTGCCCCACCAGCCACCTGCCCGCCCCCTCACCCCAGCGCCCACCTTG